AGTAAGGTATCTGTACTCTTACTCAAGTATGGTTTTCAGGTACTCTTTACACCTCTGTTATAAACTGTCAACACCTACTGTTGGCTGCTAACATACCAACGAGGCGAAGTGCGGGAGGTACCACGCTGACGAGCAAAATTTCCAATTATCTCAGTTTCTTTTATTTGCAGATACAAAATGTCCTTTAGATCCATTTACGATAAACTAGTAAACTACATCATATTACTCAAACCGTGCAGTGTCAGGTATCAGCGACATAAAAACATTGCAGAAACTCTGGTACAAAATGCGGTCAACAAAAATGTGCTTCCCTCCACAGGTGATTTCATTTACAGATTAATACCGACACCCATACTCACGTGACTTTCACACCACAAGTAAAAGCCAAAATAAAAGCCCAAGTGCAACATACATATGGCATAGCTGTCAAGTCTCCCGTTTTGGCTGGGAAACTACCGTACGTATTCTACCCCTCTTTCCCGCCGTCCTCCCGTATTAGTATTTTCCCGTAAATCTCCCGTATTATAATATCATTTAAAAAAAAATCCTCTGCCTCTCCAAACTGAACTGTCAGTAGTCTCGCGAGAACTGCCACCTGCAGGTCATTTACAACATTAACCAGGTCATAAATGCGGAGGTTAAAATGGTAATGCTGTGTGCGAAAAACAACGTAACTTTCACCTTCTGTGACGACTTCAACATGGATAAAAAGTCTGCAACAAATCTGTATAATAAGTCATTAGTGAATGCCAGAGAGCCACGAGTGAACATGAGAAATTAAAATAAAATGTGTAATGAAAATAAAATGTAAATGACAAGTGGTTATTTTAGATTTCTTATACACCTGTCTTAAAATGTAAGGGATACTGGAGCTTGGTTGGGGTGGTGGGGTGGCTCGCGGCGGGAGCCGGAAAATTTCCCTTATTTTCAAATCTAAAACTTGACAGGTATGACATATGGCCGTTACACCTACCATTATGCTACCAAAGGTGTAATCTGTGGACAGCTAATGATGTTTGCAGCTAATGACAGGAGTTTCTCACACGTAACATCCACACCATGCATGTTGTTTTAGGATAGTAGAAAATATTAATTATGTTTTTGCTTAAACAACAATAAAAAGGGTACACAGTTGGTCTCCCACCATGTGCACTGTCATCAAAACAAAATATGTCTGATAAACGATAAAATTCACCATCCCCCCTGAATTGTTTTTACAACTCGACTACTGAAGGTAGTGCGAGGAAAGTTTGGCCCAGCTGTTACAAGCACGGACAAAAAAAGCTTAGGAGGCTATTGCAAGCTCCGTAAATGCTGCGTCACCTCGGACAAGGCGTTCAGCTCTTATGACCCTCGCTATAATAGATGATGATGATTATGATTATTATTATTATTATTATTATTATTATTCCAGTTGCCAAAAACGTAGAATCATTATCACCTTCAGTTCAACTGTAAATGCATTTTTAGGTGACGTAGGAGATTGTATCCGGTTCCTAATGAGGTTGGTAACAAAAAGAATGCCCTCATGATCGAGCCTGTACCTTTTTATCAATTTACTATTGCCGTACCTCTGCAGGACGTCCTTTCTTTGACAGAAAGTGCGCGGTCTCCGTCTTGGTGCGCGTAGTGCAGCTGCCATCATTCAACTACTAACCGGCTTAGAAGTCCTCTCCAGCTCTCTTAAATAATTTAGGAACTGAGACCAAGTCTTAACACTTAAGAATGTTTATGCATGCCACTTATTCTTAAGTCCGGGAGTAGGAGCAAAATCTTAGAATTGTGACGCATTTAAGAGTGAAATTTTACTCTGAGAAGTTTTATGCATACCGGCCCAGACCAATAGAAGCGGTTCCACTACCCCAGCATTTTTGCCGCTCCATAGTCCCCAATACTCGGTGTGTTCTGTACCAACCTATGGATGGTGGGTCAGAGGCTCCGGGGCACAAGTGGCTGCAGCAGGATCAGAAGTGCCATAGAACCAGACTAGAAAGGCAAAAGGGCCACTATTGGCTGCCTTTAATATGGAAAAAATGGGTGCTCGCTTCAAGTGAGATAGTGTTATGATGTGCCCAAGAAAAAAGTGCCCCTGTAGTGGAGAAAGTGTAACGCAATGCCCTTAAAATAGGCTTAGCAGTCCTTATGGGTATCTTTCCAAATTAAAAGGGTGCCATTATGAAGTGCCCTCTATGCCCCTGCTGCATGATTAAGTGTCCCAATGGGTTCTCTTACAGTGGTCTAAGTAAGGGATAGGCTTATCCAAAGGGTTTTTGGGATAACCTTTAGGTCAGCTGTTCAAACCCAGGTGAGAGGACTCTTCAGCCAATCAGCCCTCTAATTAGTAATCTAATTATGGAGTTGCAGGGAAAACCTGCATATACAGTGGCTCTTTCTGGATAAAATTGCCCACCCCTGGTCTCAATGGTCCCTATGGGTACACATCTAGTGAAAAAGAGTGCCATTATGATACCATTTAACGTCATCTTTGCTTAGACAGTTAAGGTTCAGGGTGAATGAAATGTTTCATATACTCAAGGTGGAGATACTATCATTTACTTAACGCTGGCCTAGCAAAATGACAGTCCGGGATAAGTCATTTTATGTCTAGCAATATGCCAAAATGGGACGTCGTATGCAAAATTGAGAAACAACATCAATTATGCATTTTTCCCTACTGGACACCATGGAGTGTATGCCTATAACTAGCTGTCATTTGCAAAGGTAGCCGAATATATTATATTTAAATTCCCTTATATCTCCGTATATATATACCTGTGCTAGCATAATCACTGTTTGCTTTTTTACAACGTCGTAAATCGTTGTGTAAGCACGTGTAATATGTCGTACAAAGAGTTTCGTAGCGGGCGAGGGTGACGTCCGCATTTTGTCTTCCCTTTTGAATTCCACTAGGGGGCAGTCTTAATTTAAGAGCATCATAACAGCTTCGTAGTGGATTAAGCGGTAGGGCTTCACTAGAATTGCCTTTGACACTGACGCTGCAGCCTATTAAGCGTTATGATCTAATTTCATTACTGAATGTGCAGACTGTTCATAATGGTACAATGTCTGCATGAGTACGGGTTATACAAGCCGTTCTCCCAAATTGTATTTATTCACCCAAAATTTGAGTAGACAATCCTTGAAAAACCGATTTCTAAAATCCCATACTCTTTACATACTGTTTGCTGTATAATTAACGGTGCTCCAGATTTATGTGTATGTTAAAAAAAACATTGACATAACAGTTGCCTTATTTCTGTACTAAAGTACGTTTAATCCCCGATTTTGTTTTACACAGCTGCACACTCTCTCTGAACTATTTTTTCTTGTTGAATTTGAAAAGACTTTGAGGTCTGGACTTAAAATTCATATTAGTGTCAATGCATTTTGTTTCCTTAGTTTTTGTAAAGTAACGCTAATAACATATTGATAGTATATCTCATTTCTAAGTATAATTATAGAAGACTCCTGCCTTTTAACTTTACAATCGTTCAAGTTCAAAGCGATCTATTCAAACAAATTGCTACATTGCCTGCTGCTTTCCGAAGTATTGGATCCAGTCATGATCGCTAAAAAGTCATTAGCTGTTTCTATAATACAAAATGACTATTTAAAATACATACAGCCGTGGGAAAAATGAAGAGATCACTAGATATTTTAAAATAAACTTTGCATTCTTAAATCCCAGTTTAATTCCGGTTTTGCTGCCAGAAGGCTACGGTGAGCATCAGGATGCTTCAAGGTTCAAAATTTCTAAAACAGCAGTACACAAGAATAAGGTGAAGCAGGAGACACTGGGAACTACCAGAAATCAGACAGGTAAAGGGCAAAAGCGACTTTCTAATGGCAGAGATGACCGTTAACTTATCCAGCAGGTTCTCATGAATCATAGGATGGCATCAAGTGACCTTTAAAAGGAATGGGAAACATTAAGTGCAGGTGTGAAGTGCACTGCTAAGAGTGCGTATCAGGCTCCAAGAAGCAGTACTGAAGACCTATAAAGCAAGGAAGAAGACCTTCATTAATGAGAAGAACCAGGCTGCAGTTTGCAAAAAAAAAAATCATTATTCACAGATGCACACCCATAAATTGAGAAATGAAAGAAAAAAATGTGCTGTGGTCTCAATTTTTTCCGCCGCTGTACATATAAAATTGCAGTATACATTCCAGACCAAACTGAATGTAATAAAAGTGCCAGTAACACTGATTTGAATATATATTTGCAAGGAAGTGTTATAAAGTTATTTGTGTTCATAGGGCTTGTGTTGATAGAAGTTTAAATGTTACAAAATGATGGTTTACATTTACTCGGGTTCTCCAAATCCCTATACATTATATTTAATATAAATAAAGAAAAAACGGAGTAAGATTTGCATTCCTTGTCTCATTCCGAATTAGCTCACACAAAGGCCTTTCAGGCAGAATATCAGTCTAATTGAAAACCTGGGCTGTCGTATAAAATGCAGCTAAGGAAAGAGAACCGAAGAAAAAAAAACTGTAGCGTTTAATACTGCATAACACGTCCAACATTAAACAAGGCATAAACTACGGACGCAGGAGGAGGAGTCAGAGCTTCAACCCTCACATCAGTCCAAGCGATCGGCAAGAAGGAAGCGGAGAGCTGGGCGGACGCGTGCAGAGAAGGGAGGGAAGAAGGTTAAGCTATTGACAGCTTCCTAAACCGCGGTTATCCGTGCAAGTCCTGGAAAACTGACCAATGGCCGCCGCCGTGGACGAATCAAGTCCTAAAAACTTGAATCGTTGAAGACATCTGGAGATGTATCTTTAAAAGGTAACACGGGTTGCTATCGTTACCGAATTAACAAAGAACCGATAATTGCGACAATAACTAAGAAAAACTTTCTAAAGGCATCCCCTTAGCCTACCACAGCTCTCGTCTAACCCGAGAGCTGTGGTAGGTGAGTAAGTTTCGTAAATGTTGTAAATATTCCCCTTTGGTGTAAAATATGTAGTCAAAGTGCAAAATTCAAATGGAATAACCGGAACAGTTCATTATTCCAAGTTACCCGCTCCATCGTGGATAAATACTAGCTTCTAACGTACTATTGGATTACTTGACGGCAGATGTAAATGTCATGTTCGATAAGTAAAATATATAGATCGATATCCATATAAACGAGGCCGCTTACAGTAGCTTACCTCCAGCGTTTTTAGCGTTTAGTATTTCACACACACACTCACACACAGATTATGGAGTCGCTCAAAATCGGAGTTTTGCACAGATGTGCTTGTACACCATAAACGGTCTTTGCATTTCTCGTATCATGATAATATACACTGGGGATTAAACAACCTCTGCGTTTTGGGAAAAGCACATGGGAGCCGGAGCGAGTAGCTTTTAATGTTCTAAACACATTGTTGCATTTGGGATCGCGCTCCGTATTCGCTCGGGATGCATTTTACGGTTCAATGCGACACCTTGTATTTCGTTGTCGTTTACACCGGGTGAATAAACTGACGACCTTTGCTGTTTTCTGTCGTTTTTGACAAGGAAGACGTCGATTTATGGGTAATCATTGGGTGCTGGATAAGAGGTAATTTAGTTTTTATGTGTCCGCTTTTGTTGAATTTGTAATCTCTTGATTCCTCTGCCCCGCTGTATTCTTAACGGGGTTTCTGAATCAACCCTGACTGAATATCTTCGCTGTAAGAATATAGTACTGTATCTTGTATGTTCATTGTTATTTAACGTGTGCGGTACATAACTGTCCGAGATTTTCCAGTGCACCTCTTACTGTAGCTATTGATCTTAGCTCCGTGATGGACCATCTCATCACTTCGGTGCTATTACTGTGTACTTGCGGTCACCGTAAATGTTTTATAGGGCCCGGCCCCTGACTGAATGCTCCCTTCTTAAGATTTATTTTTAAATCACGGATACAAGCATATGCTTATTTGTTTCTGTTTTTGGACGATCGCAACCATTTATAGGCTCTTTCTTTCTTACGGGCATCGATGCTTGTAATTGCCGGATCCTGGATAGCCCGAGACGCAGAAGGGCTGCATGCAGCAGAAAGGTAGCCTGGATTCATAAGCAGTGTCGTTTTCTCACCTAGTGGGGTCTGTGAGTTTTTCGCCTCCTCATTGTGACTGAGACTCGACCCATCTTCGGTTCCGATGAGCATCTGCAGGGAGATACTGTCTGTTTGATTCTTATCTGTAGATTGATTTCACTATTAAATTAAGACGTCTCCACTTTATAGCTATCTGTCAACTCTATCAGGGTTCAAGAAATGTGATTTTAGCGGAGTTCATATATCGCAGAGTATATTGCATGTCAGGTGAGTGAATGGTGTATCCTGGACTAGTTATCGCTTGTAGGACGTGCTTGTGTTAGTTTTGAAGTAGTACATTGCACCGCTCAGTTTTTGACGAGGTCTGTGCTGCAATATGACTTTTACATAAAATTCTCAAGTGTCCTGCTCTCTAAATAACTCCACTTTGGTGCTGTACTCCATTCTGAGGATCGAGGTCACTTGGTAAGGGAGTTTGGCTTTATGCCTAGTCATCTGTATCTAATGCAAAGTTTGGCCAGTAAACGTGATTAATTTTCTCTACTTAATGCTCTAAGTTTGGAACCTCTTCAGCCTTACTTAATGTGTACAGTTCATATATATTTGCATATTTTCTCTTTATGTCAAGTTTTGAAAGTTGACTTTTTCTAAACTATGGCAATGATGTGTCTTCCTATCTTGTGAAAATGCCTATATCAGACTTGCAATTCCACTTTATAAATTGCACTGCTTTGTTCATGCATATATTTACATATTTCATAATTTTTTTACACCTTACTTTTGCTAATCAAACTTGCAAAAACATTCTTGCAGTACCGTCACATTTATAAATACGGTCACCACACCCTGTTACCATGCTAGTTATTACTAGTTATTAATGCTCACCGTTTGTGTTTTAAAAGTGAACCAGACTAGTTGTACAGTGGCTTGCAGAAATATTCAATCCCATTGAAAGTCATGACAATTGTCTGGATTATAAAATATAAATGCACAATTTTCTCAAACAACATGTATGTTGAGAACTCATTTGCTCCAGTATATTTCCAAACACCAGGTCAGTTGTCTTCTAACATGAAAAAGATAATAAAGCCTGATAGGTGCTGTTTGCATAAGTATTCAAACCCTGTGCTTTGGAAGCTCCAGGGTTACACAAATGACAAATTAATCACAAATGACATGAAATTGACAGTTATTAGACCATGATTAAACATAATTAGGTACTCAGTCCTGATGTTTCTCTCTGGATAAAAAAAAGAATCGTTTGGAAGGGCCATTGTCTTTGTTGGGCAATCACTGCAAAAATGAAGACAAAGGAACATTCTGCTGATGTGAGAAACAAATTCATTGAAATGCACAAGGGAGGAAAAATATCAAACAGTTTGGATGTCCCTTTAAGGACTGTTGGATTCATCATCAGAAAGTGGAAGGTTCATTACAACACCCAGAGCCTTACTAGAACAGGCCATCCCTCAAAACTAAGCATCAAAACAACTGGTGAGAGAAGGCTAGTAAAAATCTAACCATCACTCTCAGCAGTCTGCAGTGCTCTTTGGCTGAAACTGGAGTGAAGGTGCATGGTTCACAATTTCAAGAGCTCTCCATAAAACAAGCCTCTACGGGTGGTAGCAAAAAGCCATTCCTTAAAAAGATGCACATAAAAACACATATGACATTTGCTACAAAGCATGAGAAAGACACAGTCAAGATGGGGGATTTTTATGGTCAGATGAGACTAAAATAGAACGTTTTTTTGCCAGACCTCAAAGAGGTATGTGTGGTATAAAACTAACACTGACCATGCCTGAAGAAACACCATACCTACAGTGAAATATGGTGGTGTCAGCATCATACTATGTGAATGCTGTTCATGTTCTGGGACTGGGAATCTTGTCAGAGTTGAAGGGACAATGGATGGACACAAATACTGCACAATACTGCAGGAAAACTTGTTCCAGTCTGCTATGAACCTGCGGCTTGGGACAGGATTAATCTTTCAACATGACAATGACCGTAAGCATAAGGCCAAAGCAACACTGGAATGGCTCAAAAACAGAAAGATGAATTTTCTGGAATGGCTGGGTCAAAGCCCTGATTGTCATGACCTGCGCATCCAGTCCTTGTGTTTGCCACGCCCACCTTGTTACCCATGTGTCCATTCCCATCGTATCAGCTGTCTTGCATTTCTTCTGATGTCATGTCCTGTATTTAGTCCACGTTCAAGTCTGGTTCCCCAGCTCTGTCATTGACGTTTGTGGAAGTCTGTACCCTGTCAGTCCGTCTGCCCTCAGTAAATTCTTTTGCCTTGGCTTTACGGCTCCCGGACTCTGCTTCACTGCACCCTGCTCGTTCGCCCGTCTCTCGATTGCAACACTGATCTTCACCATATTGAGAATCTGTGGAACTATTTGAAAACTGCTGTTCAGAGGTGCCATCCCACCAACCTAGAGGATCTCTATAAATTCTGCCAAGAAGAATGGGGAAGAATCACATCTGAACAATTAGCAAAAATTGTACATACTTATGTAAATAATTAAGGCTGTTATTGCAGCAAAAGGGTTCTCACAATAATATTACTGTGTAGGGGTTGAATGCTTATGCAAACATGACATTTTGAGATGTATGGCCAAAGCATATGAGGTCACAATAAATATACTGAATGCACAAATATGTATACAATTCTTTTATCATGCACAGAATTATGATGACTTTCAAGGGGGTTGAATACTTCTGCAAGCTTCTTCTGTGCCTCTTCTCAGTATTTAAATATTTTTGACAGAGAGCCCTTTATAACACTGTCCAAGTCATTTGATAACCTACTGTATTTAAAGCAAGATAGCTATAGAAAATGTACAGACAACTTAATTAAATATATAATATTGGTAACTCTTACAAATAGTGTGGCATGTTATTAGTTGAGTTACTTCCTAAATAAGAAATCCTTTCAGTGAACAAGCTGCAATGTCCTGTGTGCTAAGTAATAAATTGCTACACAATGAGCTCATTTAATGAACTGCCACCCCCCAAGTTTGTCCTGCTAAATAGAAAGTTGTAAAGATAGAAAGTATACATGTAAATTTTATTTAGGCCTTGTCTGGAGCACAGAGGTATTAATGCCAGCTGTTCATCACGCTGTTTGAAGTAGCCACACCCATCGGTTTACTGCCCATAAACAGAGCAGAGAAGTCAGTGCAGACTTAGACATGCCTGAATAATTGATGAGAGGGAGAGGCAACCCTCCTATTGCTCCTGTAGGGTCACATGTCAGCTGGCAGCTTTGGGATTGCTGTCCCAATGCAGAACGTGCCTTCCTCAACACTGAGAAGAACATGAATCATTGTGTCAATTTATGAAGGTGAAACCCTCTCTTTGTTATCTATTCATGTTCTTCCCACATTGTTCATTATGATAGACGTCCATCCATTTTCCGAATGGTTATCCGATCATGGGATTGTAACAGATGTAGGCCAAGATGAAAGTGTATCCTTCCTCTTCTATAATGGACTTCCAGTCCTTCACTTATCTGATGCATTCAATTAAAAGGATCATTTCCATCTCATCTTGCTCGGAAATGATCCATCCATAAAGTGATGGCTCTTCTTTTTTTGATCAATATAATTACAATAAAATGCATTCCAGCTCTGCATTACTTTGAAGGTAATGGAAGGTTAATTGATACCCAGGATACAGTAGATTCTGGTATTGAAAAGCAATTTAGTACTGCATGAAATTTTTTCTTTTCGGTTCTCTGTATTTAAAAACATTCTTCCTGGATTTTAACATTGCAGAAATGCTCACATCATCAGTTTCATGCATTTCCCCCCCTAATAGTTACTGGAGATATAGAGAACTGTTGCTGTAGAAGCTTTAACTGTGAGCAGTGGAGTTCCATTAGGATGCCCTGGAGACAGGAAAGTTTGAGTGTGGAGTGTGACAGGGCTAAACTGCTTCTTCCCCATGTTACTCTACGTCAGGCAAAGCCAAAAAGAGCCGGGAACCACTGCTGTTACAGTGTCTGAGACGGCAGGTTTGAAAAGGCATGTCCAGTGTGCAGTAACCTGTCAGTGCCGCTCCCGGCTACAGGGCTTATAATTGAAGCATGTCTCTCCAGTGCATCTGTGCGTCACCCAGAGACAGAGGAAGCCCTGCTGTCCCTGATTCTTGCTTTCGCTTCCTGGCAGCACACGCCTGTCTCTCAGTGCTGGTGATAAATTGTCTGAAAGTTGAGGAGGCTGGAACTCGAGCAGATTATCCTAGAAGTTTGTATACTTAGAAGGTGGAAGGTGGATCTCACTGTCATTTCCTTTGCATAGATATCATGTATATATAGAAGGACTCCATTAATAATGTTGTTTAAATGCCCTCCCATGAGTCACAACCTACTTCTGGCTGGTCATGTGCTGAAGACCTCTTTGGCAAATTAGCATGAAAGCTTAATGGTAGCTTTTGCGGAGGGACTAGAGCAGATTATGGTTTTCATCATCTTTTTTTTTCATGATTCTGCAAAAAGATTTAAGTAAGATATTAACTGAAATAGACAGAAAACATAAATTTCAATGTTGACGGTGGGTGCACTGGTCCCCAGTAGGTTAATGTAGAAATTTCCAGAAGGGTCTTGTAAAAAAACTTCCTTCTGAAGCTCCTCTATTTCTGATGGATGGTGGTCATCTTCTGTGTCTTTAGCATCATGGTTCACCATAGATACTGATCCCACCAAGTTTTTAAATGCATCTATTTTTGACAACTTGTGTGAAGCGCTGCATTTTTATTCTGCTTTACTTTCTAGGTGGGATCTTTTGTAGTTATTTTTATTATTATTTTACAATTATTATTGTTGTTATGTACTGTACTTGTTATTATTACTCTATTATTATTATTGTTGTTATGTACTGTATTATTATTTTTTCAGTTTAAGATCTTGTTTGCACCTGGGGTCTCCCTATATATCAAATTGAACTATTAGGATCGTTTGAGAACGTGTGTGTGCATGTGTGCGTGTGTCTGTTTGTGTGCCCTGTGATGGACTGGCATCCCATCTAGGGTATGCTTGCTCTCTGCTGCCTGGGATCAGCTCCAGGCCCCCCCTGTGACCCTGAATGGTTGGAAGATGGATGGATGCATTAATATCTTTAGAATACATGTCATTAAAGTACTGCGATGGATTGGCGCCCCACCCTGGGTTGTTCCCTGCCTTGCGCCTGTAGCCTCTGGGATTGGCTCCAGACCCCCCGCGACCCTGAACAGGGTAAGCGGTTTCAGAAAATGGATGGATGGATGTAATTAAACTAATATGAGAACTGACTGTGCGGAATTGACCTTTAACTGGCGGTGAATTTCACAAATTTGTCCTGACCTCCCTACTAGCTCTCAGCGGTTCGTAAAGAAGGCCCAGTAACAAGGGTGATGAATACTTTAAAAGCTAATTAGCACCTTGTAAATTTACAAGATTTTAATATCTTTATATTTGTGAAATCTTTAGTCAAATGATTTGTTTATCTTTTACACTGTTCTCTGACATTGTATTTTAACATTGTAATTTGGGTCTCATCTTCGATCAACTTCTTACCTTCTTGCCACACATCGACTCAATAGTACAAACAACATTTTTTTTTATCTCCGTAACTTTGCTCGTCTGCAATCTTTCCTCAGTGTGAAAGATACTGAAACACTAAATCATGCTGTCATCATTACCCGTTGTAATGCATTATTTTATGGCCTCCCTAACTAAATATATCAATGGATTACAGAATGTTCAGAATTCTGCGTCTTCTTTACTAACGCACACTAAAAAATCTGCTCACATCACTCCTGTCCTCTATGATTTACATTTTACATTGGTTACCAGTTTCTTTAAGAATCAAATATAAAATTATACTCATTACCTTTAAAGCCCTCCATGGATTGAACATAAGAACATAAGAACATAAGAACATTGTCTGAGCTACTGTTTCCTTACACTACAGCCTGCATACTAAGATCATAGGATGCCAACCTTCTGTACCTAAGCACAGGTTATCAACTATTGGTGGCAGAGCATTTAATGTTGGAGACCCTAAAATTTGGAATGGTGTTCCTCTCAGTCTTCATGAGGAAAAATCTATTGTCCATTTAAGCTCCTGTTAAAAACATCTTTTCAATGAATATTATTCCTCTTCTTGTATGTAATGTGTACTGCAGTTGTCTGAGATGTTCTCCTTCTCTGTCACTTATGCCCTGGGAGAGATGGACCAGCACAAGCTATTCTTCAGTTTTTCCGAAGATCTTTACTACCATTCTGGCCTTAATATTAATGCCTTCGCTTTCGATGGCTTCTCTGCCAGACCTTCTCCTCAATGAGTCTTGAACCTTTTAGCGACCTGAGGGGGTAATGGTCCGGAATTTGGGCATATGTTGGGTGCTATGAGGTGGGCAGGGAGCTAAACTGGGCCAGGACAGTTGGATATTGGGGAAATTAATTATAGATGCGGCAACATCAAAATTTTGATAGAATTTTTAATAAAGACGTATCCAGTGAGTGCAGCTTCCTGCCCTTCTTGAGGTGGGAGTTTCACTGCTACTGCGTCTCAGGCATCAGGGAGCTGTTTAATGAGGCCTTTCATCACCCGCCTGGTGGAGCCACTCTGAAGAGAGCAAATTCTCTTCAAAATTAATGTGGGGGTGCTGGCAGCAACGTGGAATCCTCAGAGAGGACTCCGCCTGATAGACACAAGTCCCCAAATACAAGGCTGGCGGGAAAACAGCACTTAAGCAAAGGGAAACTGAATTATCACAAATCCACTGCAACAGGTTCGGTAGATGGACTGATAGATCAGGCTTGATACACTCAGACTGATACATCTTTAACAGATGTTGTCCTTCTTGCTGTTGATGAAGGCTACAAGACTATTTAAGCTCCTGTTTTTGTCTGTTGTGGGCGTGATCGATTAAATGGATCGTTTTGTAGTTTCAAACTAAACCTTTTTTCTACAGTAAATCAAACATTCTGTTTTTCCGCTAATAGACCAGAGTCTTCTGTATTGCCAAAAAGATATACAGAATACAGCAAATTTGAAAGAGGCTGTTCCTCATGGTTGGAGCAGCTAAATTAGCTGCACACACCGTGGCTCTGTTTATCGTATCCCGCAGTGAGACTCCAGGGATCCACATCTGCTGCATCCTTATGGAGGATGTTAGGAATGATTAGTGTGGGACTTAAAATTTTGGGGACACTGGGCATCTCCTTTGATCTTGTATTTCATATCTCGCAACTCTACTTTACTCATATTTTTTTAATGTTAAGAGAGGAGAGCAAGTATATTTGTACCCATCAAATTTCAAATCTTGAACAGATAATTCCAAAGATGGAAGGGTGATATGAGTAACAGGCACACGCCAGACACGGGGTGTAGAGGACCTGCAGCTAATCCCAAGCAGCACAATGCAGTGTAACACCCTGCACTGGACATGCATTATCACAGGGCCACACACACTTATGCTATGGACATGGTCAGCCGAGTACTTCATGCTCAGCTAAATGAGGCATTTCCTGCACTTTCAGGCAGCACTGTGCAACTGGCTGAAGTGGAGTTTTCGATGAACAGGGGAGTGTACCTCCAGATTCCTCTTCTTCCACCAGCTGCAGTTTGGTTAGGTTAATTTTCCTCTTACGGTTTAAGACATATTATCCCTGACTTGTGACTGTAAATACTATACCAGCACACAATTTTATGGCAAGAAAAAATGTGTCTGGGGTCCTTTAATGTATTTCAGAAATACTAATTTTTGTTACAACTTGCATAAGCCACCTTTCCATTACTGAATTCTGAAGTCGCTGGTTGTTTAATATTTTTCAGCTAAATGAGGCTACATGTAGATAGAATGATAATAGTGGGACTTTGAAACTGGATCACTGACTGTTGTTCTTGTCATGCAACAAGATTAATGTTTTGTTTTTCCAGGTCATATGGATCATATCCCCAGCACCATGTTGCACCTCACCTGTTGCCACACTTCATGCCCTGTGACCTGGCACTGATTTGAAAGAAGCTTTTTTTTATCCAGAAGTTTATAAACAAAGAGGTACGCAAGTTACTCTCTGTTTGATCAATGATATGCTTCTGCACCTTCTCATGTGCTCTTTTGAGGCTCTCTCAAGTCCCAGTTTAGTAAATTGAAGTGCCGTACCACGTTACCTTTGACCCTTCATCTCTACCTCGGTATTAAAGGGAAGTGTTTTATCCATCTTAGATTTCCTGCACCTAAGGAACTATAATCTGATTTTGTTTCTGCAAAGACAGCTTCTCAAGATCAAGAGTAAAATGCCTTGAGAGTTATTAATATTGGCTACAGTGTGGATATCCAGTCTTGGATGATTTTACTCAAAACAATTTGCCATTTGGATTATGTACTCCAACTTCCGCAAATGCACTAAAGTTAGGCTTGAAGTTGCTTGCAATTCCTAGTATGTTTACGTCTCTGGTGTAAGAGGAAGAGCATCCAGCACTGCTGGGCTTCGCTTCTGAACCTGTACTTAAGACCGTGACCCTATGACTGAGGCAGCATCCATTGATCTTGTGCTTTGGAAAGAAATTCCCTCTGACGCAGTCCTTCACAGCAACAGGAGGCTGGCAGTAATTATGGTCCTTTCTGGCTCCCAGAGGTTTTACATGGATCTCTGCACCCTCCCCATGGCAACCATCAGTTAGCCAGGCACAAGCCCGCTTTGGGGTGGACCTTGGTGATGTCATCAGGAGTATTGACCTTTGCAGCTCAGTGCACTGCTGCTCTCTGACTAGGCTTGTCTGCTACATTACAGAACGGAATTCAGACTTCCCCATCTGGCTATAACAAAGCCTGGCCTTAACCATTCATGTCGTGGCTTCTGCCACGACGGGGGAACTTGCGTTTTGTTTTTTTCTTGACTTTGTGGATCCAAGGTGAAGCCTGCTGGCTGCAGCTTTTTATGGCAGGGATTGTGTGGATTGAAAGACTCAAACACTTCAAGGGAGATTTTTGTCTTTGGCTGCTGGAGTCTTCACTGATCTGCTTGGAGAAAAATGCACAGGAAGCAGGAAACTTTGGATTAACGTAAATACGCTGGGACACTGTAGCAGGGTTTCAGTTTTGGTTGGCCAAGCAAAGGCCCAGGGGAGACCACTTTTTGATTTTCTTAATCTCTTTGTTAATCTGGCGCTACCTTGACAGAATGTCACCTCTCCATGAAATGTAAGAGCTGCTGGTGGTTTATGAAAGAAGAAATTGTACAACACTGTCCTTTCGTGGCATGCTAGGAAGCAAAGACACTGTCACTGTCCTCATTCTGGTCAGGACATCTTAAAGGGTGTAGTGGTCTTTTGTGAAAATGCAACAACCGCATGAATTAGCCATTCACAGAGAAGCTGGAGAGTTCGATTGGCCTCTGAGGAGGATCTGCTCTGCCCAGTACTGACCGGAACTGCTGCAGGAAGATTAAGCAGCCCCAGCATCCTCACTAGGAGCTCCAACCCACACTTGTAGGATCACCCTTGTTATGATCTGTGCTCGCTGCTGCCCCCTGGAGCCATGCCCATGCCAGTGCCCAACATGGCAGTGAGCCCACCAAAGTCCTACTTCTGGGAGGTATTCCCTCCCATGCCCACTCGCAGGGTGTACTGCACGCCCCTCTTCCAGGACAGCAGGCTCACCGTGCTGGGCGGCTGCAGTGAGACAGGCCTGCCACTGGACAGCGTCGAGGTGCTGGACATTGGTTCACAGACCTGGATCCAGCTGCCGCCGCTGCCCACAGCCCGAGCGGGCGCTGCCGCTGTGGCGCTAGGGACTCGGGTCTTGGTGATGGGGGGCATGGACGCCCAGCAGAACCCGCTGTCTTCAGTGGAGATCTACAACCCCGATGAGGGCAAGTGGGAGAGAAAGACCAGCCTGAGCCAACCCTCGATGGGCATCAGCACTGTGGAGAAAGGTAAGACGGGCCCCCGGCTGAGCCCTTGGCGTGTGATGTACTCATGAGCGCAATGCACATGCTGGCTGGTCAGTCACACTCATTCCAGATCTCACCCCACAATGATATCTCCCTGAGCATCACTCTTCATGAAGTGAACTTGTAAGACTACAAAATTGGCCATTGTATGGCCTAATCTGTGCGTGTGCTCCTTCCACAGCAGACGGAAGGGTCGCACAAAGGAGCTTATTTATAGCTTTATTGTTTGTGTTACTAAGTGCCTGGAGGGGCAAAAACCACATCAGTGTAGCATTGCATCCATCGCCCATTTAATGACCCAATCAGGTCTGCCAGTATGTTGAATGTACGTTAAAATGATTTAACAAAACCGTACAGTGCGCAAAATAGGGAATTAGGCAAAGTTGCCCGGAAAAAGCAAGAAGTGGTGAGGGAGGCTGATGGGTTACAAGGCAGGGGATCGGATCTGGTTGGCATAGTCGTGTTTTGTCGGATGTCGTGGGAAACGACCTTGTTCAGCATCTCGCATGAGCGGCATCTTGGGGTGGGCAATCGATGTCACCGCCGCCTGTCCCATGGGGGGCTCGTGTGGGAGCTGATGGCAGTTATTTAGAAGCACGGGCAGATAATCCGACTCCCTCAAAGCAGCTCTGCTGACAGGTTATTTCAAGAAGGCAGGGAAAATTGTCGCTTAACCTACTTTGCGTTCCCCATTTAAGCTGCTCCAGTTCTGTGAGAATAAATGATCATCTGCCAACATACTGAGCAAATCCATTGCGGGGGAAGAATTTTTGGGCAGCTAATGTGGGACGCTGGTTAATTAATAAAACATTCTGTATTTTGCACTGTGACTTTGGTTGCTCTTCTCCAAGCACAGCAGCACTCACATTCTGTTGGCTTTTAGCATGAAATCTGCATGCACATGTCATGACACATCTGCCTTGATCAGGCCGCATGATCTGTCCTACAGAAACCTGATCATTTATAAACATGAGACTTCTTAAAGAAATTCTGTTTCATCATTAAGATTATACATAAGTACAAGTGCTCAGAAAATGAAATGCAGTTTGGCTGAAAGTGGAAAATAAAGCAGAAGTGCTAGAGACAGCTGTACAATATATACATGTGTAATAAACAGTGTTGGGAGTAACGCGTTACAAAAGTAACAAATTACTGTAATGCATTGCTTTTTGCTGTAACGAGGTAATGTAAGGCATTACAGAAAAAAAATTGGTAATATTTTACTCGGTATAAATGTCAGTAACGTGCATTACAATGCATTTTTAACCCGGAATGAAGTGATGGTTTTTTTTCTTCATACAAATTCGCCAAAATCACCGAGAGATCAGCAGAGGAGAAATGTCCATGCAAAATGTTTCACTTCTTGTAGTCAGACAGAACAGAGAGATGAGTGAACCTGCAACTGATCTAACGCCGGATAGTAAAACTTAATCAAACTGACAGAAAACAGCTGGGTTGCATATGTGGTAAATAAGGGGGCGTGGCACATAAGAGGATCGGACAGGCAGGTCATGACAATTACACTCGTATTACCCAAAATATTAAAGAAGAAATATTTAATAAAGACATTTAATTACGAAGAGCAAACATGCTTTCGATGCGTAGCGATGTATCATTTTCATTGTCTCGATCAACTTTTTAATCAATAGACAAAAAACCGCGATAGAGTGAAGCCGCGAAAGTCGAAGCGCGAGGGATGACTGTAAAGGCATAGAAATGCTAATTTTTTATCCTGTCATATCTTTAGACATTACAATACAGTTCAATTAATGTTAATATGACTAGGCCTAAAGTTACAGTATTTCTATCACTATTTGCCAGACTTTGACCTTTTGTCTGTTGTTGTGATGATTGTTCCTTGTATTGCACCATGAGCCATCGCTGTGGCTATTATATTCTACTGTTTTTAACCATAGGCCTATAGCTCAGTTAGATACCACAGCACCTTCCACTGGCTGTGTAATGAGCTAATTGAGCGTCATGAGCAAGATGAGCATAGATTTCCAAATCCATATTTCCAGTTATCTTGGTGAGAAAAACTCTACTTACAATAGTAGTGTAATGCCTTACATTTTAAATACAGTAATATTGTAATGTAACAAATTACTTTGAAATTACAGTAACAAGTAATAAATAATGCATTACAGTTTTGAAGTAACTTGCCCAACACTGGTAATAAATATATTGAAAATATATGCATATGTACAGAGGTACAGTATACATGGTATACAGTGTGTGGTGTGAATGAGTATATGCAGCAATACAGGAATCCTGTGCAGCATATGTATACAGTGTACATAATAATGAAGTATGGAGGAGGAGGTACACTTCATGTTCTGGCTGGAAGTGGGTGAATATTATTGGTCATGTTGCGAGCTCAGCAGGTAGACAGCTATTGGGAAGAGCAGAGGCTTCTGTACTCCTTCCAGATGGGAGTAGGGTTACCAATGTTTGGATGAGAGCATTACCCAATGAAGTTGTGTGCCCTTTTCAAGTATCATTGACTCTGAGGGTCCTTAATTAATACTGCAGAATCTATGTATGTTCATTTTCATGATTAAACTTCTGATAATTTCAGATTTCTCAGAACTTTCCTGCATACACTGATATTAACCACATGGTCCCTTTGGAACTTCCATTCAGTGTTTCTAGTTTTACCCAGTTGTGCACTAGTCCTGTCATTTTGGGACAAATATCTCCCCCACAGCTAGAGCTACTTCTTGCTGTGGAGATGCTCCTCTAGTACACTGTTAAAGCCGAGGCCTCCAAGGCAGCATAAGGCATGGCATCCTGGGTAGGATATTATTGTGGTCTTAAATGGAGATTATACATGACTAGAACAAATGCCCTCGCTGGAATCGCGGTTTGTTCACACTTATGAGTTGTCAGCATGTTTTGAGGGCCTCGGCTTCTAAATGGATAACGTGACGCTTTTGCAAATGGTAAACAAGTCAATATAGTGCATTACAAGCAGGATCCGAGATGGACGACGAGTAACAGGTCCAAGTTCTCTTGCTTCACCTCTCGTTCCCTTTTTAATCTTGCGTGCTTTCTCAGTCACTCTGTCTTTGCTGGAGGAACCTCACAAGGTGATCATTGCTGTTGCCTGGAAACAGGTGTTTGTTTGTGTGTGCACATGTGTGTGTGTGTATGTGTGTAGAACTAGGGGCACACCAACTGAGTGAAGGGGACTGTCATTCACGCTCATTCAATGGCCTAGTCGGCATAGTCCTGCTGTTCTAGCTCCTCATGTACATTACCTGTTAGTCAGAGAGGCTTCAGCAGCGCCACACCCTGGAGAGTTCCGCTGTGCGCCTAGAAGCCACAGACGTGAATTTGTGAGCAGTTTTTATCAAGCGTGTGTTTATCTGCTGATGTCGTTCCCTTTTTGCTCCTTTAAATTTTCTCACTTATCAGTCTGCATAAGCAATTAAAAGATATAACTTGTCAGCTCCCACATTGCTGGGAGCCTTGACAGTAAGTAAAGGAGTCTCATAGGAGATTCTCTCTGGTGTCCCAAGCCATTACTGGCTGGTAACTCAGGGCACCGGCTTTGCTCATCCTGATCTGAACGTGTCCTTCCATCCTTCTCTCCTGTCCTAATCTTATCTGGAACAAATCTGATCAAGTTTTTCATGGGAGGTTATGGGGGGGTAATTGGAAAATCAGTTTTTTGATGGATGTCTTTATTAAAATATAGTATCAAAATAAAATAAAAATGTCCCCGCCCCCCACCACCACGGCACCGGTTATGGTCTTTTGCCTTTCTGGCTGGCTACTGTGTGTGGGGAGCGGCTGTCACAGGGTCACTTGGACGGCCTGCTGGTGCGTGTCACCACTGCCAGCCTGGGTTCCATGCTCTTCCCCGACTTTATGGCCGCTGTGGCAGAGAGCAGCACCGTAAAGGGCATTGTACGGCACTGAGTGGGACCATGGGCTTTGACCCAACGCTGCGTTTGCAGTGGGTTGTCAGGTGCCGCATTTAATGACGGTACGCTGTGCTCTCTCACACGGTGCTGATGATGTGTCACCTCTGTTGCCCCCTACTGGCACTGCTGGGCACCATGCTCTCACGCGTTTTATCTTGTCAGCAAATTATGAACTTGGTTATCACCTCTGATGACTTTCTGTGGGGGGGCGGGGGTTGTGCAGGGGACACAGTAGTGCGTTCCCTAATCAAATAAACGTTCCTTGCCCTGGAATCCTAGTGGATTATGTGAGGGCCCCCTTACCCCCCACCCTTGCTCTCTTGCTGTTTTTCACACCAAGCTTATTGAGAAACTGGACGTTCTCAAGCAGGGCCCATATGCTGGCTCACTTGTTTGAATAGCAATCACCTCCCCAGCGTGACAGATGCCCCCTGTAGCTACGTAAGGCAGAGGAGTGATTTATTTGTAATTACTCTGTGTAAACCCCACTCGGCAGTTTGACGCTAGTCATGCCGTCAGATATAATGAAATGTAGGGGAGGCAGGATTTGAGTGTGAAAATGCTAACGAACGTGAAAATTATATGACGAGAGAGAGAGATGCAAGCTAGGGCCAGCATGGAAATGCATGCTAGCAGGAAGCTGATGCATGCTGGTGGAGTCAAGTCAAGGTCTTTATTTGCCATATGCACAGTAAGGCAGAGACATCAGTACAATGAAATGCTTGTGGTGAGGGTCGCACATACAATACTGTGTGCCATTGACATGTAAATACAGAGGAGAGGGAGAAGGTAATCAGGTAAAATAAAATAGGATAAAGGGAATATGCCAGGAGTAAATAAAACTGATCTTGTAAAAATAGTGAGGAAGACCAAGTAGCAGCAGCAGTATAAGGTGGTACTCCTCGGGGTAACTGTTACCTGGGCTTGTGATGTAACTGAAGCAACCTTACCTACAAGGTCCATAAGTTTAATCAAGTCCAACTCTGCAGTGTCTGTGATTATTACAAGCCTCCACAGTAAAAAATTCAGGAGTGAATTACCTTCTGTATTCCA